TGATATATTATTGAGACATCTATTTCCTAATTCCCTTAACTAAGACGTCGATTGTTGTTTCATTTTGATTTAATTATTTCTTAAATTCAATCAATGGCTAACCGCCCAATAGTTATTATATTTACCATGTAGACCAACTAATAATCTTCCTCCTCCTTCCCTTCCTTAGTACTTTGTGACTGCTGCAATGTATGAACACTTTCTTGTAGAGACTCATTCTGCTGGTGCAGCTTCTCCATAATTGCTATGAGGTGTGCCATGTCTGGAGGAGTTCATGGTTGACTCTTGCTAGGAGATGATCCAGACATCACTTTGTTGTGATAAAGTGTCTGGTTTTTTATGAGGCCTGGGAATATTTTACCGAGGGCCCACAATGGTCGCCAAAGGTTCTTGCTAAATACTATTTGGAGAAACCTCCATGAAGCTAGCCAGGTGAGGTTACAATTTTCCTACTTTGTTAGGAGGTATTAGTTATCCCTCTTCCTCGTTGGGAAGTTTCCTTTTATACTAATTTACCCATCAATGGCTTTTAAATGGACGTCATTTAACAACCCTCGGTAATGGTTGTCGTCTTCTATAACTACCAAGTAATGCTTCTTCCATCAATTTTTATAACTCCCATGAAATCATGGAGAAGTTTCGTAACCATCCTTTGTGACTATTCATATTGCTCCCTAACACTTTCAAGAGATAGGACCGACTTGCTCCTATGCTAGAATTACCATGTGACCAGATCCGACCTGCTTTGATTTTGTACTTTATCCTGACCGGGTTCCAATTTTCTTAGGGTCATGTTATCTGACTTGCCTTCTCTTTGTACTCGGATTGCAAAAGCTCGGCCCTTGGGAATTCCGGGATGTATAGGTTGCTAACCGAAAATTCAAAAATCATGAATCTTAAACAAAAATCATGCAACGCAAGACATAAATTAGGAATATTAAGTTGCTAAAGATGGAAAACATAAACACAACTATGTATAAGCTTGACAAACCTTTATATGCTACAAACCTGTTGTAGCATACATATGATTTACCATCCTTCTTACTTAATAAATTGGATGTGAACCATGCTACTTGAAATCCTTTTCTATCTTTAAAATCCTGATACATATGATTATTTTAGTTAGCCAAGAATAGTTAGTAAAATCCATAATAGCAGAGCTTAAGAATAGTTAGTAAATCCCTTTCTATCTTTGAATGATGAAATCAAACCATTTTGACGTCTACGATCTCAAAGTTATCCATATCCAATGCTAAAAAAAAGCATCAAAAGAATTAGTAAAATCATAACTAGCATATACATCAAATAATACATATAATTAAAATACGAATAAATAAGCAAATGAACAAGTTCTTTACCGATACAAATTTCACCAAATGAACTGCTTACAATTTTGCGACCAATTTTAAACTTGTTCCCTTCATGTTGAACAGGACATCGTACCTTATCCAACGATGATAAGAAAGAAGAACAACGATACATGACACAATTGAACGATTGATTCGACAAAAAGTTGTTAACGACGATGAACGGAAAAAGAGAAAGAAAAAAAGAGGGGTTGGCGAAGATAAAGATAAAGAGAGAAGAACACAAAAATTGAAATCGAACCCATAACCTAAAAACAAATCTCCATCTTTTTCGTTTGAAATCAAATTCACAACCCAAAAGTAGATCTCCATTTTTTTTATTCTCTTGAAATCGAAACAACAATCCGTAAACAGATTTATCGCTTAAACTCAGATATGGTTCTTCTTCGCTATGACATTTGTATCACTTTTTGAATCATATGTATCTCCATCATATCACTCATAAGCCATGTTCTTCTTCTTGTTCCTCGCACTCTGGTTATGATGCTTTCGATTACACAACAACCATTTCAAATTCGACAGAAGAGAGAAGAGAAAGAAAAGAAAGAGTAAAGTAGAAAGAAAAGAAAGAAAAGACGGAAGAATGGGGAACGCAAAAAGAGAAGAAAGTGAAGAAGATAAAAGGGGTACACAAAAAGAGGAGAGAAGAAAGGGGAAAACGTGATCTAAAGTAAGACTTTGGAAAGAATGAAATTGCAATAGAACCATATGACATCCTCAATTGAACCAAACTTAACCAACTAAGGCATAATACAATAAGTATGTAGTTGGAATTGAACAATGTGACACTATTAGTTGCAAAAAAATAATATTTGGACCAAAATTGCCTTCATTTTAGTGAGGTGAAAGATTTATAGGAAATGGCAAAAGAGAGTTTTCTACAACATCTAATTTTCTTATATTATAGATTTGAATAAATTATTTAATTGAGTTTTGTATTTGAATAGACCGTGATGAATTGAGTCATTCAATTAAATCTAATGAGAGGTCTCTGCCCTCAGTCGTTTAGTTATTTAAGCGTTATCTAAAAATCCTAGACGACAATAAAGGTAATAATCATTTCAAATTCACTTTTCTGATGACCGTCTCTCAAATCTTACAAAATACAACGTTCTTATTATTCTTAATTATTCAACAATATTATAATTATAATATGCTATAATTTATATTTATCTAATTCTATTAAATTTATCGTGAAATGGCATAAGGGTTACCTTTTACTTGATCATTGGACCCAACATAGCAATATCTTATCTTTTATGTGGCTTAAAGTGATACCATTTTGGATACCACTTGAGAGTTAAAAGACATGATTAATGTAGAAGAAAAATGGTATTTAAATTTAAAGAAATGATTAATGTAGAAGAAAAGTGAAATTTAAAATTATTTAAGAAGTGGTTCAATATTGAGTTGATCAATTGTATTATGGTTTTCATTTTCTATGTTATTATTTTGTCTAATCTATTATTGACACATCTATCTCCTCATTCCCTTAACTAAGACGTCGGCTGCTGTTTCATTTTGATTTATTTATTTTTTAAATTCAATCAATGACTAACCGTCCAACGGTTATTGTAATTACCATGTAGACCAACTAATAATCTTCCACATGTGATGATAACCATGTGAAAACCCACTTCTACCCCCACTCACATTTGAAACAAACCTTCCTCTTCCTCTTCTCACTCTTCTTTCTCTCCTGCAATCAATCACTCCTTCCATTTTCTCTTCTTCTTCTCTTCAGGTACGTCAAACACCAACACCTTTCATTTTCCATCTCAATTCCCTCACCAATCCAAAACTCTGTTATCACTTTAGTATCAATACAATTTTTCGTTTCCATTTTCATCATAAAGATCAAATCAATACGCATGTTTAAGCTTCTGTTTATCTGATTAATTTATAATCATTTTTCAACGATCACTGTTTTATTCAAATCGCAAATTGCAAATTTGTGTATTCTACGTGTTCTTTCACGTTTTTCGCATAATCAACTTTTCACAACTTTTACGCATGACATGTTCATAGTAGAATTGCGGTTTAAGTACGTTTTATACAGTAATCGTCGCTAAACTTGTGGAATATTTTTCGAAATCGATCTAATCAACTATTTTTAGCTTGTATATCTATTGTTAGAAATGCAATAATACAAATATTTATAGTTTTTTTTGTTAAGGCTTTGTAGTAACATTGGATAAACAACTTAACTAATTAAGCTCTTATCACATAGGTGTTTATCATACAAGTGTTTATACTTAACTTATTTTCATATTAAGTTGTTTCCATAGAAATCCTTAACTTACTTTCATACAAGTGTTTAAATAACAAACCCAGTCGAGTTGCGGTCGCGTAAAGACTTTCGTGATTTCGGTTGGTAAAAGTGTTGTGACATTAATTGCGATCCGAATTGCGGTTGTCGCAGTGTGAATTAATCACAATTTGTTCTTTATCATAAAAACAGTGAATAATGGTATAGTTATTGACACCTTTCGATATAGTTTTGTCGCGGTCGTTCACGGTAACGGACCGTTTAAGCTCACAAGTGTTTAAAATAAATAAGTCTAAATAAGTTAATCAGATTTTCGGGTTTTGGAATAGTTATATCATGATATGATATCACAACTTCTGCTTTCATGAAGTATATTATAAATAAATCGGTTTATTTTGAGTTCAAGGTTGATGGTGTTTTTTTCATGTGTAAATTAAGGACTATTGCACTGTATAAGAATTAAGGATACCGTGAATAAAATTTTATTATATATAAAAAATATAAAATCTTCTTATGTTTATATTTGTTTTAATTTAAGTTTAGTTTTGGCACTGTTGGTTGTTGTTAGATATTTATTTCATCAAGGTTTCAAATCTTATTCTCAGAATATGCTGTGAAAGATTCCAGATTATTTTTTGGTTCTCTTTTCTGTGATGTATCACTGTTGGTAGCGAATTTGTGCTTCAGGACAAATTGGTAGGGTTAGGCTTATGATGAAACTCATGTGATGTGAACTCTTTTGTTGAGTCTTGCTTTTCGGCATCTGGTAGTCCTAAGCACCTAATTTGAGAAATTATGCTTGCAAGTTGTGATTCTTGGTTACTTTGCGATTTAGAGTGAATTGATTCTATAAATTTGATTTTGATTAAAAGTGAGTTGAATGTAAAGTGATTTATATTTGAACAACTTTATTCAAAATTGAGTTTAACAGTAAATTTCAATGTAAAATCACGTTTAAATTCAAAAGTTACAAGTTCTACATTTCAAGTAGAATTAATTCTAAAGACAGAATCAATTCTATTTTAGAAGACACATGTACCCCAAAATCATTCCAAAATCAATTCTACATCTATATAAAGTTAAACCAAACATACATTTCACAACTTTGCTTTAGGTACAAACATTGATTGCTCAAACTTTTGTAACCATCCAATTTCTAACGGAGAAGAACTCTAGTAATCTAAAGTTGTGATTCTTTGTGTATAAAGCTACATAAATATTAAATGTATGTCACATGTCTTAGAAATATTGAATCTATTCTTGTGTTGCACAGTGTGTGCATTTTTTTCTCACTTTGCAGGTTTAGTAACAACTTCATCAATCACATTCATTTTATTTTTCATTTTGTGTGTGTAACTGCAGTTATGGATACTGCAGCAGGTCCAAGTCTCTATCCATTGCATCATAGCAAAACTATTCACCTGGTTGGTTGCAAATTTATCCTTGAAGCATATTTGTATTTATTTTATCATACCAAAATTTGCATTTTTAACACGCGACATGAAATCAAAAGCCTTACTCGCCTCTGATTTTATATATGAGCTAGTGTTAAGTACTTATCTCTTTCTGAATTACATATTAAGATAAACTTCTATGTGATCATAAAGATTTTGAACAACATGAAATTCATAAAGATTGAATTCTGAGCAAGATTTGGCATTTTTTCATTGCAATAGTTTGTGTGTTGCAGCTGTTGTATTTTGGTTCTTCAGACCATTTATAATTTTCTATACTTTTTATAGCTCTAATGTGTTTTATTACCTTATTATATTCAGGTAAGGCATGCCCAAGGAGTTCATAATGTAGAAGGAGAAAAGAACCATGATGCGTACTTATCTTATGATTATTTTGATGCAAACCTAACCCCTCTTGGCTGGAAGCAGGTAGTTGCCGGTCGTTTTCTTTTAATGTCATGTTGTTGAGAAATTTTTAATGGTTTTTGTATTGTGTGGAATTCCTCTATGAAGTGATCACAACGATCAAGATGATACTGTTGTTAGAGATTGGTATTAGCATTCTGTCCTGGGATTTCCCCGATTTGATTTTTCACAAAAAAATTGTCAATGATAATCTTGTTGTCGCAGATACATCTATCTCTTGTTAGTTTTTTTCTGCTCAATTTTTATGTTCTTAAAATGTCATGGTGAAATGCTTGTATGACAGGTTGAAAATCTGCAAAAGCATGTGAAGGCTAATGGACTTCCCAAAAAAATTGAACTAGTTGTGGTTTCCCCATTGTTAAGGTATTTATTGCAATTTTGAGTTCTACCAAATCATATATATATTTCACTTTTTTACTATACTTCTTTTTCTGTTTCTTATAAAAATTGCGTATCTGAACTGGGTTTAGACTTTTAGGAGAAAAGATGATAAATATTTCGTTTATTCATTTGATGAGGTACAGAGATTGAATATAAAGACAGAGTTGGTTTGAAAAGTAATAACCAATTCCCTACAACTTGGGAAAGAAATAGAAAAGAGAAAGATAAGAGATAAGAGATAAAACTAATTTAAATAATATCCAAATTTGATATTTCAGATTTCAAACTATTTAAAGTAATACATAAGTTCAAACTATAAACCCCAATAAACTTTTACATCATCTCAAGGTTGTGTGTATATGTTTTTCATGTCCAACTTACAATAAGTTCAGTTAGGTTTAAATAGAACCGTGGTGAGTATGTCTGATAGTTATGAAGTGATTGTAGCAAATGCCACACAAATATTTTCTTCATTCATATTCTCTTCTACAAATTGTCTATCATGTCTGATAGTTATGAAGTGATTTTTACTAATACTTTTAGCAGTCTTATTATCACATTCAGTTTTGTTGGTTGGTTGATAACATGGTATATTATCTGGACTAAGGATGGTAATGAGGGAAATTAGACTCAAGGCTCACGTTAAACGCGAGGGTAGGTATTGAAATTGTATCAGAGTCCCACATGATAAAGTTCTCGGAGTGTTGGATGTATATATGCGCATAGGCACCCTCATCCTTTGAGTTAACTTTTGGGAGTGAGATTTAAACTCATTTAATAGATAGGAAACTCCATTTCTTCCATAGCTTTTTAGCCACATTAGTTTATAAACTCCTTCAGCCATGACTTCAACATAAAACACTGTTCCTTCCATGTTCTAACCATATTTTTCTTTTTTTACTTCGACATAAGACCAAATTTCCCCACACAAATGAGCAATATCCTGATGTTAATATATGGCCCATAACTAATCTAGTAAACTCAGCATCAATGTAGGTTTCATTAGTTTTTTGTCAAATTTATTTTGAAAAGCAGATCATTACCTGGTGCATTCTTCAAAATATCTAGATTCAATACCTTTAAGAGTTCTTTTAGGGATAATGAAGAGACAGCATTAGAAGTCTATTCTAAAAGGAATAAGACAGCCATTAAGTAAATGTATAGAGAATGTGGAGCTAAGTAACAAGGGGGAGACTTGGGAAAGGGGATTTACTCCATTCATATAAGTAAGAACTATATGATTAATATACGGATTATCTAGTGTTAGTATTGATAATGATATTGACATTGATATGGAATTTGACCATTTAATTTTTTGAAAATTTATTCGACCTTTTAGTTAGTGCTAGGAATCATTGCGATTATTCATTCTATGTTAGCAGAAATCCTTTTTATTTTTTACTGTTTCATATGGTGAGCAAATAAATGTGCTTCTATATTTGGGGCTATCATAAGTTGAAATTAAAACTATTGCATTGCAGGACAATGCAAACAGCTGTTGGAGTCTTTGGTGGGGAAGCATAGACTGATGGAATTAGTGAACCTCCTCTAATGGTGGGAAATGTGGGACACAGTGATCATCCTGCTGTTTCTGCTCTGAACTGCCCGCCATTTCTTGCTGTAGAGCTATGTCGAGAGCAAATGGTATGATAAAAAAGTGCAAAGAATATTATTTGCTATAGATAAATCAATATACTTTTATACAAGACTTTCTTTTGTAATGCAGGGACTCCATCCTTGTGATAAGAGAAGAACCGTCAGCGAGTACCGACACATGTTTCCAGGAATTGATTTTTCATTGGTTAGTGATCTTTTGCTTCTCACCTTATGATATGGTCCTGCAGTTAATATGATTAAATTTGTTCTGATGCATTGATTGCCATAAAATATTTTTGAATCTGTTGGATTTGTGCTAAATATAATTCTTTATAGATTGAAACCGACGAGGACACTTGGTGGAAACCTGAAAGAGAGAAGAAAGAAGAAGTTATTGGTAGGGGACTGAAGTTTTTGGAATGGTGAGTGTGATTAAATAATTTCATTTTATCAAAGCATCACTGCACTTCTCTTACGTTAGAATTTCATATATTTTTCATAAGTTTCTTTAATTGTTCAGGTTATGTACACGTAAAGAGAAGGAGATAGCTATTGTTACCCACAGCAGTTTTCTGTTTAATACCCTTAGTGCTTTTGGAAATGACTGTCACCCAAATATTAAGACTGAAATGTGCAAACAGTAAGCATCTCTTTTGAAAGTTTGTCATTACTTATTTACATTATACTATCGACACCTCCGAAAAAATTGTATCTGTATGGGACACCGACACGACACCGAAATGTCTAATTGTGAAAGTTTGGTTTTCTGTTTAACAGCTTTGCTAATTGTGAACTACGCTCCATGGTTATTGTTGATAAAGGGTGAGCATTTTCATTACTTGCATACCATAAAACTTATATTGAAGCTTTTGCAGAAAATTCATTTGATTTATCTGATTTACACATGTGCAGTATGATTGGATCTAATAATTCAACCACCAACTATCCTGGCAAAATTCCTCATGGTCTGGATCTTCCTAGTGATGCTACTGACTAGATAAACATTACTGTAATACAAGAAATGGGCTGACCAAATAATTGTTCCTGGCCGTCTGTAACTTGCCTTGGAATTTTCTTCAGTACAGTATATTGACTGATTTCTCAGTCGCATCTACGGTGTAATATTATTGTTTCTTAGGAAATAAAATTCTCTGTAAGAACAATTTTAAAATTCCTTATACGAGGTAGTAAGTAAATCAAGTTTTTAAATAGGTGGTAATTTATAAGATAAGAAAAATATTTTTTCCACTTTATTTATTCTATTGAATAACTTTGACTAACGGCTTGGATCGCTTTTATGTTGCACTTAATCAGTTTGGAGGCCTAAAGTAACTTTTAAAGTGGGATTTAAAAAAAAAATTATGTTGAGGTTGCAAAGAGTTGAATTAAAAGATCACTAAAATATGGGGTCTCTTACGAACTCAACAATGAGGATATATTATATAAGTATAATTTTCAGTATTAAATTAAATATTTTTGAGGTCTTTTAGGATATTGTTGAATTAGAAATGATATTTAATGTAACGAGATTTATTAGAAAAACATTTTAAAAATAAGAAATTATAAATCTAATAGTTTAAATGAAGAGTATAATAAAATTACAAAAAAAATTATCAGAATTAAGTATTAATTTTTTCTTTTGATAACCTATTTATTTTTTTGAGTTGTATCACATGTATATTCTCAAGTAATGCGTGATTGGCTAATCCAAAAGAATTGTTTTTAATTGAAGTTAAGCGATACGATACGAACATCGACTTTTTGCAGACAACATCAACGATTTGTACTGGTCAACCCCAAATTTGTCCCCATTACAGCTACAAAGTATTTTTCATTTTTGGTATGAGAACTTTCACAATTTTGTCCTTTTGAAAAGGCGTCTCATTTAATAAGGTGTATTGGTGTTGTATATAAACTACTCTTAGTCTCAATTATCAAGCAATGTGGAACTATTTTTGTTAATCCGGAATAATGTCAAATCCACTTTTCTTAACGGATTTATAAACAGAAGTCTATGTTTCTCAACCTCCGGGTTTTGAGAACTATAAAAATTCTGATTTTATTTTTAAACTTAAACGAGTACCTTGTGGTCTCAAACAGGCTCCTAGAGCTTGGTATGAACATCTTAATGGCTTTTTTATTAAGAAATAATTTAATCACGGTTATGTGGATACTACTTTGTATATAAAGCGTAAAGGAGCGCATATCTTATTAGTTCATATTTATGTTGTTGATATTATTTTTTTCATTATTAAATTAAATATTTTTGAGGTCTTTTAGGATATTGTTGAATTAGAAATGATATTTAATGTAACGAGATTGATTAGAAAAACATTTTAAAAATAAGAAATTATAAATCTAATAGTTTAAATGAAGAGTATAATAAAATTACAAAAAAAATTATCAGAATTAAGTATTAATTTTTTCTTTTGATAACCTATTTATTTATTTTTGAGTTGTATCACATGTATGATCTCAAGTAACGCGAGACTATTTTGGTTAATCCAAAAGAGTTGCTCTTAATTGAAGTTAAGGGACACAATGTGAACGTCAACTTTCTGCGGACGACATCAACATTCTATACTGGTCGATCCTAAATCTGTCTCCATTACGGCTACAAAGTATTTTTCATTTTTGGTATGAGAATTTTCACGATTTTGTCTTTTTGAAAAGGCGTCTCATTTGATTAAGGTGTTTTGGTGTTATATATAAACTACTCTTAGTCTCAATTCTCAAACAATGTGGAATTATTTTTGTCAACTCGGAATAATGTCAAATCCACTTTTTTTAAACGGATTTATAAACAGAAGTCTATGTTTCTCAACCTCCGGGTTTTGAGAACTATGAAAATTCTGATTTTGTTTTTAAACTTAAATGAGTATCTTGTGGTCTCAAACAGGCTCATAGAGCTTGGTATGAACGTCTTAATGACTTTTTTATTAAGAAATAATTTAATCACGGTTATGTGGATACTACTTTGTTTATAAAGCGTAAAGGTTCGCATATCTTATTAGTTCATATTTATGTTGTTGATATTATTTTTTGATCAACTAAACCTATATGCAAAGAGTTTGCTAGTATCAAGCGGAGGAGTTTGAAATGTCGTTGATGGGAGAACTTAATTACTTTTTAGAACTCGGGTGTTCTCCTCACGGGGAACGTGAGATATTTCAAACTCCTGGAGGCTAGCTAGCTCCTCTCTAGCCAACTTAAGATATTTCTGCAACAATGGGTCTTTAGCTTGCGCTTCCTTTGGAATTTGGGATACGACTAACTGGGAGTCCATCTCCAACATGAGGCATTTTATCCCATTTCTTTGGCTAATAATATCCCATAATAATTCTTCATACTCGGCTTGATTATTGGTAGTTGAGAATTCAAAGCTCAGCTAGACCTCTACTATGACCCCATAACTATTTTCTAAAATGACTTTCGCAACAGTTGGACTACCCGTCTGTAAAAACCACCCAAACGTGTTTCAAGTCCGAAGGCGTCGTGGTCATTTTTGCTAGAAAGTTAGCAAATAATTGGGCTTTTAGGGCTTTCCTAACTTCGAAAGAGACTTCAAACATAGACAATTATATCGTCCATTTTGTTAATCTCCCATCCAGATTCAGGGCGATAGAGTATCTGCATCAGTGGTAAATATGTTCGAATTATTATAGGATACACCAAGAAATATCTTCTGAGTTTTTGAGACACCTCCATTACATCTAGGGAAGCCTTCTTAATTTTTTTGATATTGAGTTTCTGCTCCCACCAAGGCTTTAGACACAATGTATACCAGATTCTATCTGTCACCCGTTTCTCTTATGAGGGGGCACTTACCGCTTCTTCAGCCACTGCTAAGTAGAGATACAACGTCTCTTCTGGAAATGGTTGGGTAAGCACTAGTAGGGTAGCCGGGATCTTTTTCAATGGGTCGAATGCAACATTACATTCGACATTCCAATCGAATTATGTTTATTTCCTCAAACATTTGTTGAATGGAAATGCTTGCTAGGCTAATTTCTATATGAACTTGTTTAGAGCTGTCAGCATCTCAACTAACACCCCAGACTGCTTTCAGGATTACCGACTGACCCCACAAACCAACACGGGTCTTTTTAGCATGTTTTATCCTCACTCACACACTTTTTGAGAAACTTCCCAGAAGGTTACCCATCCCAAAATTGCTTCAAGTTAAGCACGTTTTACTGTGGAGTTCTTATGAAACAGGCTACCTAAAAGAAGATGCATCTTGTTGGTATAGATAGTACCAATTAATCCTTATAAGTCTTTCTTCAACCATGCAGTTCCATAGTCGGGCACAACCCAGTCCAGCTCTATGTCGAAGAAGGCTCAATCCCTCCTAGCCGTTGGAGAGCACATTCCTCGCGTGCTTATCACCCGAGGACACTTGGCCAGCTGATCCTGGTCACTCCACGAAAGCGTTTTTCCTTTCATAACGGGAACATCTTCCACTCCGAGGAATGCGGGACAGTTGACCCAGGATGATAAGCATGAGCTGCTCATCCCTACTTCCACGTAGAAATCCTAGCAATCATCCATTATGGGCCTAATTACCCAGCCTATAATGGAGACCGTTGGCCCAGCGTTGGAGACTTCATAAATACCCTATTCTAATAAAGGGTCGGGTATTTGTATTCTATTCCACTTCTCACTTCTATACTTGCCCTTTATCGCTCCATACTTACTTTAGCACTGAAGTGTCTTGTAGGTACACCCTCCACTATTTTCCTCATATGAAGTTGAAGATCACGGTGTGTTGTTGGTCACTGAAGATTCTTCTGATCTCGGTAAGATCAGTGGCGCCGTCTATGGAAAACCTTTGCTCCCCCATCTTTTCTTTCTCTGAAACCTAAAGACCAAAACAACATCCTCAAAACTACCGATTATGGTCGATCAACACGACAAAAGCATTCGTGAAACCACCTCCACTCCCCTCCATGACGCCGACAACGACAACAAAATTCCAATTCTGGAAGACATTACGCCTCCCAAAAGAGATGGACTCACCGCCTCCCCTTTATCCGACGAGGCGGCCGACGACAACATCCAGTTCGTTGAAACCCAAAAAGTCTAAAAGACTTCGGAGAAGGTGCCAGAGAACTTCCATCCAATCCCAGTCCCGGCCAACACCGACCCGACCATGGTAGCCCTGGTCGCTACCCTCAACCAAACTAACATGTTGATCTATCAGCAGAACGAGAGGATCAGAGTATTGGAAAGAGACCGTCATACACACTCTCTCCCGCACAGACACCAACGGTATGAGTCTCGTAGCCCATCGCCACAATGACCAAGATGCTGACCACAACCCCTGAATCACAACTGTACTCCTTCCCGCGAGGATCGCATCTCCCTAGTGGCCAAGAAAAACAAGGTCGGAGGATGACCTGACAACCATCGGTCGCCCCCGTAAAAACTAAAGAGTCGATCAAAGAATTCCCCACTGTTCCGCGAGGACAACCCCCGGCGAGAAAGGTACGACTACTCCCTACCACGCTCACTACTCAGGAGTGACGAGGACGACCCTCACGGTCCGCTATCTCGGGAGATCATGGACTATCCCCTTCCCAAGGGGCTGAAAAAGCCCCCGAACTTGGGGACGTACAGTGGAACGACGGATCCCAATGAGCATCTAGAAAACATTGATGCCCTGCTCGACTACTGTGGCATCAGAGGGACTATCAAGTGCAGGTTATTTCCCACAACCTTGAGGAAAGGTGTCATGACTTAGTACAAAAGCCTCGCCGAAGAGTCCATCACATCCTGGAAGGACTTGGGAAGGCAGTTCTCAAGACACTTCACTGCTTCTTGTTGCCATGCAAAATCTGAGGCGACGCTCGAGGCGATCATACAGGGGAAAGATGAGTCCCTCCAAGCCTACATCGAAAGGTTTAACCGCCATATTTCAAACCTACTATTATTAAAAGGTGATGGTGCGTTTAGAAAAGACTCATTTGAAAGTCTGTTGGACGTCATCTTCCTCCT